ATTTCCTGGCATAGAAATGAAACACAAAGAACACAAGAAAACACAGATCGTTTACGTGGTTCGATCCAACTGGATCTACGTCTACGGGAGGGAATCAATCAAATAGTTCACTAAAGCAAAAGAAATGAAGAATGCATAGCTTATACATAGAGATGAGCCATCATCTTTCTTCTATGGCCTCCCTCTCAAGCGATGCCTTAATATAAGGCCCAAGATGTTCTCCTCCTCTCTAGCTCTCTAGATATTCTCTCCTCCTTTGTGGTAGCTTAAGATCTCTTTCCTTGTTCTCCTAAGCCTCACACCCTCTCTATTTATAGAAGCAAGAGAGTGGTAGGTGGGAGATAGGTGAGTGGTAGGTGAGCGGTAGGTGAGATGTAATAGGTGAGCGGTACCACATTACAAAATTGCCTTTTTACCTTAGTTCAATAATTGAGGGTCAAAATAACAATGTCAAGGCCAATTTTTTGCAGGATGTCGTTACCTTCTCAGCTAGCTCTAATTGGGACTGTATCACGAAGCTTCATTCGGGAAGGAGATAGTTTTAAGAGAATTTGAAAGGGAGAAGGAAAGTGGAGAGGGGAAGCTCGGAAGGGTTTCAAGCATAAGGGGAAACAGGAGAAACACGTGCGGGATGGGGGAGATTATAAATGAAATTTAAGGGTGCGGGTAGTGTAAATTAGGTCATTTGCGTCAGATTTTTGTGTAATTTGCGTCAACAATAGTTCAACGCTAATAAGTAGAGCTTTGCGTTGATTTATTTGATGCAAATTAGACTCAAAATCAGTCGCAATAATAACACAGGTTTTGTCGTTTTAGAATACATTTTTCATCAATTTTAGACACAAATCAGACACAAAATCAGCAACAACTATTAAAATTTATTATTTACAGCTTAACAACCTCAAATCAGATGCTAATTTTTACGTTGGCAAAATCCAATGAAAATATTGAATGCTAATATCGGCATTTCATGCAATGCTCTTCGTTAGTGAAACCAACTTAGGATCACCTGCAAAATGAGCCAAGGGGGCCATGACATATCAGGCCTTCGGAGTTAAAATCATTAAGAAGTGCACTTTACAAAAATCAAAACATAACGTATATTATTATCGTAAGGACATTTGCTTACATACCACACAATTCTTATGTGTATACATAGTTAAAATCTAAACATTCCTGTTTACATACATATGACTTAGATCTTTAACATCACATAAAAAAATATCATGATCACTATAACTAAAATAAAAATATAATACCCCTTTTCATTTATAACTTTATGCACAAAGATGTTATAAATGTAATTAATATCAAACTTTGGGAGTTGGATGTATAAATGTGTACATATGTAAATTTGGCTATATTTTATTGTATATGAAAGGCAAAGGCATGTAGATGGACTATATATGTAGGGTTGTAAACAAGCCGAGCTTGAGCGACCTGAGCCTCGGCTTGTGTTCTGCTCGTACCAATTTGGTTTGTGTTTGAAATGACTCGTGAACATTATGTTCGAGTCCAACTCGAATAACATATTCATGTTCGTGTTCGGCTTGAAATAGACTCGACAAAATATATTCAGCGGAATAACGCCGCGGTGTTATTCCGCGGTGTTAATGGTGTTATCAGTGTTATTCTGTGGTGTTACACCGCAGAATAACACTTATAATATCGCGAATTACACCCAAATAACACCATGAAATAACAGTACAACCCTAAACACGAGGCACGCGAATGAATAAAGTTTTGGTGTACTCGCATTATTGGCTACAATATAATGTTGGCTATCTTGAATACAGCATTGGCAGCAGTATATTATTGTATAATATTTTGCTGCACAAGAAATGAGGCCACGTTAGCTAGACCTATTTAATGGGCTCCACATATTTATGAACTGTGAATATAAAGTAATATGCAAAGTTTACATCAAATCACACGCAATATTTTCGTTGGATGTGATATAAGAAAAGACGAGGGATATTATGTAAATATGATGATTTAGGGGTTGCCCCCGAACAAGTAATTGTTGGGCATGACATGCAGGGGGTGAGTGAAGACCTGTATGTGATAGCAAGAGCAAATTTTACTGTCGGGTCACCAGATATGTGGACAAAGGACGAGATACAGCGGTGACCTGACCTTTCAGTCACCGCTGTATCTTGTCCGTTGTCCGCACATCCGGTGAGCAAGAGGGCCATCAGGCTTAATAAAAAATATTTCAGTAAGAAAAATAATTAATATATGAGATTAAAAAAAGAAAAAGTTTTATATAAAATACAAGAAATTGGGTAGAATAATAAACCTTTAGCATTAGCAATTTATGCAAATGTAAATGAGCATTGGCCGTCTGCTATAAATAAAGAATATAAACAAGCAAGCTTTCAACTAAGAAGAAGAAGAAGAAGAAGAGATGAGAAGTTTTACAAATAATATGCTTCTTTCAAAACCCAGCATTCCATCTTATTCCCTCAGTAATCTTCAGCTGAGATCACTAAACTCTTGCAACTTCAGGCTTCCTGCAGCTGTTAATGCATATTTTTACAGAACAAGACCTCAAGGTATCTGTCCATAAAACTAAAAGAAAATTTCTTCCAATTCTGCAAGCTAGATGAGTACTCATATTATGCAATAGGAGTAGATAATTAATATTTTATAGTTGATTTTATAGAATCAAATTAATACTATGAAGGAATAATAGATAGAGCCGATCGAAGTCTTACTCGGTTTTTCATTTTCTGACCATTTCATGGATGCACAGGCGTTGGAGCTCTTAAAGTTATTCAAGGAGAAGCATTGGAGGAGAAGACGAAGGATCTATCACCATTGCAGCTAAACACATATGATCTAGTATATTTAAATGATTACCATTATTATTCATACATCCATATACTTAGAGAAATTCAAGCCAAATTATTTGGGATAAGAGTGCAATTTAGAGATTTTTATTTTAAAGTGTTCACTTTTATGATCTTGTTTTATTTTACATGTGGTAGGATGAGGATGAACAAGAAGAGAGAATCGAGATTTTAGTAAAAGAAATAAAGGAGTTGTTCTCATCAATAGGAGACGGCGAGGTAAGTCCTTCAGCTTATGATACAGCATGGGTTGCAAGAATTCCATCAATGGATGATCCAAATAAACCTCAATTTCCAACAACATTGGAATGGGTAATGAAGAACCAGCTAGAAGATGGCTCATGGGGGGAGCCCATCTTCTTCTCTATATATGACAGGCTTGTTTGCACTCTATCTTGTGTTATTACTCTCACACAATGGAAGCAGGGACATGAACTAATAGCCAAAGGTAAAGTTTCCATTTTCTTAAATAATTTGGATAGTACTAATGATGAAGATGAATATGATGTATTTGTGACTATTTATGTTTTAACACCCATACTTGTATATTGTATTTGCATCAGGGCTTCATTTTTTACAAACATATATTAAAGATCTTGATGAGGAAAAAAGTGTAAGAACCGTCGGTTTTGAGATAATATTTCCTTCGATGCTTAATGAAGCCAAAGTTATTGGGCTCAACCTTCCATATGATCTCCCTTGCATCAGACATATCATCAAGCTTAGAGAGGAAAAGATGACTAGGTAACCAAAGATGAAAATGATCAATTATATATATTTTTTAAGCATTTGTTATCTGAGAATATGGAAAATATTAATTCTACTATAGGATTCCAATGGAAGTGTTGCACTCAGTTCCAACTACACTGCTTTACTCATTAGAAGCAATAGAAGCTGATTTGGTGCAATGGGATAGAATTCTGAAGCTGCAATGTAGGAATGGAAGTATCTCAGATTCACCTTCAGCTACTGCTGCAGCATATTTGAACACTAATGATGAAAAGTGCCTTGAATACTTAACATATATTGTGAAGAGATTTCAAGATTGTGGTATATTTCGACATCACATTACTTATATTAGCATATCTATGTAGATGCTTCAACCATAGATAAATTTTAGCTATGAATGTATATGCATGATATTGAATTATTTTATTATATTATTTGCATGCAGCACCTTTTTTGTATCCAGTTGATACTTATGAGCGTTGTTGGATGATTGACACAATCCAACGGCTAGGAATAGATCATCACTTCCACAAAGAAATTCATAATACTCTCGACTTCTTATACAGGTAAAATTATATATATATGTATGTATGTATGTATTTATATATACATACATACATACATACATATATATACATACATACATACATACATATATATACATACATACATACATACATATATATACATACATACATACATACATATCTATACATACGTACATACATACATATATGTTTGAATGTATGTCTGTATATGTATAATTTCATATGGTTAGCTAACTAAAAAAATTTTTATGATGATATGCAGAATGCTCCGAAAAGATGGTCTAGCATGGGGAAGCGATGCCAGTGTAACTGATCTTGATGATACATGTATGGGTCTTAGACTTTTAAGGTTACATGGCTATCCCATATCCTCTGGTGAGGCTTCTTCACATATAGTATCTACATATATATATCCTTTTCTTGTTTTTTTGTAGAATTTTATTTTTTTTAAATTACTTGATGAGATGTTATTATTTCTCCAAAGTCATTTTTTATCAAAATTTTTGACAATTCTGGACTATATACAGATATGCTAGAGTACTTCAGGGATGATGAAGGCAATTTCTTATGCTTGAAGGGTGAGACGCATAAAGGAATATCTGATTTCTTCAGCTTGTACCGCTTCTCCCAAATTGCATTTCCGGGAGAGAATATACTGAAACATGCTAAAAAATTAGCCGAGCAACATTTGATGAAGAACATCAAAGGCCATCAAGCATTTGACAAGTGGGCTATAAAGAAAGCCCTACATCAGGAGGTTATTTCAATTCAACATTTTAATATTTTTTATTAATTTTACATAAGAATGGCTTTGATTAATGATTCACATAATCCCTAAACTCAACGAACAGGTTGAGTGGGCATTAAGAAATCAATGGATGAAGTGTCTTCCAAGGCTTGAAGCTCAAGAGTACATTAGAAATTACGGCGAAAATGATGTTTGGATTGGCAACACTATCTATAGGTAAGGCAATTAGCTTTTTAACTATTGATTACATATGCATAACCTAATTTCCTTTGCATGTTTTTAATTAGGATGTATAATATCAATAATCCAAAATACTTGGAACTTGCCAAGTTGGAGCACAACAAGTTGCATTCCATGCACACAGAAGAAGCTAATTCAATACTTTTGTGAGTTGATTTTGAGCAATATCTGCATATATTTAAGGCAAAGTTTTGTTAAAGTTTCTAAATTTAATTTATAAATTCTAGATGGTGGAATTCTTATGGCTTTGACGATCCTCTTATCACCCAACTAAACCCGAAGGAGATTCACTTATCAATATGTGCAGCTTTATGTGAGCCAAAGTTTTCAACTGCTAGGATTACTTATACAAAATGGAATTGCATCGAAAGCATGCTAAAATATATGTTTGAAAGCCACCACTCCATTGAAGAGCTAAAATTATTTTCACATGCAATAAATGAGTAAGTTTTTATGTATTAGTGAATGATTTATTAGAAGAAAATCATCTAATTAATTCTCTAATCAACCATGCATGCAGATGGAAACCTTCATTGGTGCAAGTTCTCCCAACCCAATTGAAACGAGTATTCATGGGAACTTATGATACCATGAATGGCTTGGCAATTGAAGGAAAGGATGTCCAAGGAATAGATGTCTTCCCCTACTTACATGATCTAGTAAGAGACAAACTTATGTATATTAATCTACATTTATTTCCAAAATTATTCGAAACCAAAACATTGATTCATATATATATGTGATAGAGGAAAAAACAAGTGCAACAATACCTAATGTTTAGAGAAGTTAAAGACAAAAAGCAGTTCAAAAACTTTGAAGATTATGTACATCAAGTTAAGAGAGGCATTGCAGTTGCCATAAGATTAGTACCAGCGATGTTCCTCATGGGAGATGTTGCACCTGATAAGGTTCTCAAACTTTTGGATCAGAAATCAACAATTCTGGATTATTTGGATACATACATTGCATTAATGGTATGCATTGCAATATATTAATCTTTTATTAAACCATATTCTTATTGCTTGAATGCAAAAAAAATATTTTTTTTTTTTTATTATCTCCAGAATTTGGTGACTGAGGAAAGAGTTGCAATTAGCCTTTACATGAAAGAACAAAACTATTCTGTGCAAGAGGCCAAGGCTTTCCTAGAAGAAAAGATTGATGAGACATTTGCTAATTTAACACAAGAATACCTGAAGCCCAATAATCATATTTCACATTTCCATCGTAGATTGATCTTTGAACATGGCAGAATTTTTAGATTTTTTCTCAATAGAAGTAGTAATGACCCAATTTTTGATGGGATTGAGAAAATTTATAAGCAAGTGTGAACAATTCACGATGGCCAGTTATTTCCATTGGATGCATCATAATATAATTGAATGCTTAATTTTCAAATTATGGGGCTCTGATGTTGTCGCATTATGCTGGTAACACCTCAATATTATGTAATAGAATATTTCCTTTACAAGTCTCAATTAAGTAAATGTGATCATTAAAGATTTTGTCATCTACATTATGATATTGAACTTCATTTATGAATGAGCAATGGTTTTGAGAATCTTAACGTTATTTAAAAATAAAAAAAATTCATTTATAAATATTATTTTTTATAAATTAATTATTTTAAATATATATTTAAAAAATAAAATTTCGACGGTCGTGTTGTGCTCATTCTGGTCTCCACAGTCCTCTTTGTACTATTATTTCTACTTTTATGGGGATGTCTCCGTCTGCTATTGGCAACTGAGAAAACAGCATCATATTTTCTATTAGAGCTTGCGTTATATTTTTTTCGCCTTTCGGGTTTCTTCTTCGATCGTACAACGTACCTGCTGCCTTTTCCAGAAGCTAGCCTGCCTATTAACGGATTGTACTACTGAATACCCGGGTCTCGGACGACTGTTTTCTGCTGTTTTTATTTAATTCAGCTCTTGCAATTGAACATAGATTGTTAACGGCATACAAAAACAGTACACTACTTGCATTTAATTGAAAATATATGAACTGTTGCTTCGATCTGTCCTACAATATAGTAGATCGTCTTCGATCAGTTCTACAAGATCTATTGCTTCGATCTGTCCATCAACTGGTGAGTTGACCAATTTTGTCAGGTAATTCATGGCTCACTTGCTGTTTGACTCAAGTTTTACAGAACCAGTGTCTCGTCTTCTTGGTTTGTTCTTCATCTCGGCCGGATCTTCCCTCTTGCAAACACTTGTGCGAGTCCCCTCTCAAAGAGGAGATTCGGCTCTATTTTCAGAGTCTCAATTGCAATTTATGAAGGTATCTGAATCACTCTAACCGAACGGTCTGGAGAGATTCCCTCCATGGGACGATTTTTTATGAAAATTTTAATGTCTTAACAATGTTGGAATTGAGTGATTTTGAGCTTGTTTGCTGAGACGCTCTATTCAACTATAAGCTCGCTAGATTAAACATCTATTTGAGCTTCCAAATAGGACCGAAAACTTCCAAAAGTGGTTTAATGGCTTGATCTGAGTTTGATTTGTCTTGGATATGATTGATTTTGGTATCATTGGGTCCGTTCTACGAGCCGGTCAGTTTGTTATAAGTTTGTTGAAATCATAATTATGGATGATGTTTAATTGAAGTTTAAATATTTCTTATTCAAAAGATCATTTTGAATTTTATGTATTCATGTTTGGATGTAGAAATTTTTTTTGAGGGCCATTTTGAATTTTATTTATTCATGTTTGGATGTAGAAATTTTTTTTGAGGGCGTATCACATAGATATGCCAACTTAATTTTGTTGGTTCTCATTAGTAACTTGTGAGGAATGATTGGGTCCCTTCATTGGTAGAAAGCTAAATTTTATACAAATAGAATGATATGTTCTTGTCAATTAGATGGTAGATTATATAAACTAATATGTACTCTATATTTAACTTAAGGAAAAAATCACGATGAATTTGAAGTAGAATATTTTAAGCGATAATATTTTGACATAAATATTAATATAAATATATATATATATTAATATTTGCTTGTTAGATTTTCTTAAATTGCATGAAATAAAAGTGATTTATTTTTCTTAAATTGACAAGTAAATTGTTATTGTTTGCAATGATTTTATGAAGAGCACCAATGGAACCAAGGGATCGCTTGGGAAGCACTCTCTATCTCTAAATTTTAACTCTACCTTTTACTATTACATAATAAACCAAAAAATTTACACCACCTAATACCAAATCCGTAAAAATAATTTAATATTACTTATATTTTATATTAATAATCATATTTTACAATGGTTTAAACTCTCAAGCTATCGAAGTTTAAAAAGTTAAATGTTAGCCAGTCTCATTTTAAATTTAATTCCCCCAGCGGAGAGGACTAACATGAATTTATATTTAAATAATATGAATTTATTTTATTTTGATTTATAGATAATAAGAATCCATAAGCACTTAAAATATATATTAAAGTTATCAGGCATTTATAATCATCCAAAATAATAATAGTGCTGCACAATGATCATAATAAATATGGGGAGAAAATTGTTGCAAGCACTGTATTAATTGCGCATAAGTTACTGTGCGGTGGAAACTCGAGGACCAGGTGTGCAAAGCAAGACCATGTGTGGGGTTGGACGTGAAACTCGAGGACCAGGTGTGCAAAGCAAGACCATGCATAAGAAAATAAACAAAGATTGTTCATTTATTGTTCATTAATGTCTTTTGACTGCTGGCAGTTTCCAAATTTAGAAGGCACGTCATGTCACGGTTAATTTAAGCCCACATCATCATATATTAAGAATATTAAAATGAGAGGATAATCAGTCACGCTGCATGCGTGTTTAATTTTTTAAGTAGAAGGAGCTTTTGAATGACAAGGCGACTTTTTTTCATTCCAGGAAACGATGGTCTAGATCAGTACTTGTCTTCATGATTTCGATGCTTGTATACAGCAAAAGTGTCTGTACTCTGCAGTATGCATAAACTCTCTGCGTGAATTGTACTTCAAAAAAGGCAATCTTATCTAATTTTGTGTAGATACTGCCAAAGAAAGCCTATTTATTTCACTAAATATCAGAAGCTAAATATCAGATGGTGAATTTTTCTGATATTTATTTTCTCTGCATGAATTTTTTTTTAGCGAACGTAAATCTTGCAGGTGTACTGGTGGTTGGTGTGGCATATGGACAATAAACGAGTGGATGTTTCATCTACTATATACGTGTAGGAGGATCTCATGGGTAGCTTACTTGATTTCAGTCATGCTGGTTATGATAAGTAATGTGAGCGAAGATTCATTGTTAAAAGTGAGTTTGGGGATTTGGAGTGATAGTGGTGCCGTCAAATTTTTTTTTGACAAAATTATATTTTATTTATGTTCTTAAAAATTGCAGTTGAACGTTATGATTTTCAACAAAGTTTTGAATCTTTTTATCCTAAATTTTAATCTATCTTAAAATTTTTATTAGGAATGTGTAAAACTTTTCTATAAATTTAGATCTTAAGAGATCCCAAGTAAACTTTGGATTCCTAGACAATCAAAATCAAATAATGTCAAACCAGTTCCAAGCACACAAACATGTAAGATTAGCAGTAAAATAAACTAAAAATAAAAATAAAAAGACTGCTACTTTTAGTTCTCATCATGTGGTTCGATGTGTCATCAACCTCAAAACTCGTATATGTAATCTATTTTTGATACAAACGACTATCAAATACATTTAAAAGAGAAAAAAAAGAATCGGCGTGCAAAAAATTATTAGCATAGGCTAACTCATGTAATTGTATCCGAGTTGTGTCTTTTTTTGTCAAGGGAGCTAAATTACTATTACAACTAAAAGGTTATTAGAGATCATTACATACTCTCTCTTTTAATGGTACCTGTGTGTGTGCATATATATATACACGACTCTCTATAGAAAAATACTCTAATACACTACCATGCATATCATTTCATCTACCATATACGTGTAGGAGGATCTCATGGGTAGCTTACTTGATTTCAGTCATGCTGGATATGTAAGTAATGTGAGCGAAGATTCATCGTTAAAAGTGAGTTTGGGGATTTGGAGTGATAACGGTGCCGTTTATTTTTTGTTTGACAAAATTATATTTTATTTTTGTTCTTAAAAATTGCAGTTGAACGTTATGTTTTTCAACAAAGTTTTGAATCTTTTAATCCTAAATTTTAATCTATCTTAAAATTTTTATTAGAAATGTGTAAAACTTTTCTATAAATTTAGATCTTAAGAGATCCCAAGTAAACTTTGGATTCCTAGACAATCAAAATCAAATAATGTCAAACCAGTTCCAAGCACACAAACATGTAAGATTAGCAGTAAAATAAACTAAAAATAAAAATAAAAAGACTGCTACTTTTAGTTCTCGTCATGTGGTTCGATGTGTCATCTACCTCAAAACTCGTATATATAATCTATTTTTGATACAAACGACTATCAAATACATTTAAAAGAGAAAATAAAGACTCGACGTGCAAAAAAATTATTAGCATAGGCTAACTCATGTAATTGTATCCGAGTTGCGTCTTTTTTTGTCAGGGGAGCTAAATTACTATTACAAGTAAAAGGTTATTAAAGATCATTACATGCTCCCTCTTACTGGTACCTATGTGTGTACATATATATAGACATGACTCTCCATAGAAAAATACTCTAATACACTACCATGCATATCAAGTATGCAATCACACCAAAAAGCACAAAGTGAAGCTTGTCTAGAACATTCGAACCAGCAGAGAACAATAGTTAGAGGCATTTAAAATACTACATATCATCTTAGTCATAGTCTAACACATCATCTAATGAAAATTGTCATTACCAACATTTAGGTGCTCAAAGAAAGATCCCCGGGTACGTATGACTTTGACGGGGTTGTCATATCGACCCCGTCTTAAAGATCCAAGGGATCTAAAGGGTGCCACCCTTGATGGATTTTGAAAAAGGCTGGCCTTACCTATGACTTAGCTTGCTACATCCATAATTTTAAAACTTTGGCGGATGTAATAAGTAGAATGATATATATATGACTCAGGAAGGTGGGTCTGTTATGAAGGCAGTGACCCAAAAGAGATGGACATGTCGTGGAGGCAGCGATTCGAAGGATGAGAGTGACGTGGGGGTAGTGACCCAAAAGAATGAGCGTGCTGGAGAGGCGATGACTCGAAGGGCAGGTGTATTGTGGAAGTGGTGACTTGAAAGGGTGGGCATGTTGTGAATACAGTGACCCGAAGAATGAGTGTGCTGTGGAAGCAGTGACCTAAAGATGGGTGTGACATGAAGGCAGTGGTCTGGAAGATGAGTGTGTTATATATATATGTCTGAAATTTGAATAATTAGAAAGAAAATTATATATATTATATATATATTAATACACACATGTAATGGGGAGGTCTGGGAGTTGCGACGATAATGGGCATCCTTGCTAGGGCTTCGTTTCTTGGCCTCGGATTGGGTGAGATCTTTCCCGTTTCTTTCTCCTTTTTTTTATTTTTCACATGCTTTGAGCTCCCTAGATCTGGATCTGGAAGATTTGTTGGTTTCTTTCTTTTATTTTGCTGTTTTTGGATTTCGATTTCCAAATCGAGGGATTTTTCTTGAGTTTCTTGCTCTTATTTCCAGGTCTTGGTTTGTTTCTATTTTACTTTTTCTTTTCTTCTTGCTTCTTTATGTTTTCCTGATCTTGTTTTATGTTTTTCTGATATGTTTTTCTTTTCCTGCTTTGCTTTTTATTTTTGATCTGCTTTACCATGCCTCCGGGCACGCGATCTTTTGTGGATGTTGTTCTTGATGGAGGTGGTGTATCGGCCCCTCCCTCCTCTGAGTTCTTTCCTCAGAGTTTTCATGATTCGCTTTCTCTTGGTAGCGACTACTTCTTTATTAGGAAGCTAGGGGAAAAAAATGGGAAGCTTGCTCTTTTTGTTAATGAGGATGAAACTTCAACCCTTACTTCTTCTTGTTGGTTAGCTCTTGTTGGCAAGTTTACCTATGGTATCCCCAAAATCAAAATCATCCGTCGTGAGCTTGAAATGTTAAAACTTAAGGGTTGGTGGAAGGTTGACATTATAGATGGTAGACACATTTTCATACAATTAGCCAATGATGAAGATTATACTAGGTTGTTTGCGAA